CTGGAGTGCCGTTCTACGTTTCGGATAACAGTTGGAGTGTCATTACCTTCCAATAGTTGCAAACAACATAAAAAACACACTAAGTACAAAAACAACACCAACTTAAATACTATTTAATACTATATTCATTAATAAATGTACAATTTACATAAGATTTCTAAAATTATATTTCTTTTTTCTTCAAATGTAAATTCTTCTTTCTTCAAATGTAAATGATATTTAATATAGTTGATAAATATTCATAAGACACCCAAATATGTGAAGAATACAATGAAGAATAGAATTTTAGAGCAGCAAGAATAATTGAAGAGAAGAAAACGAGTTATTGTGATTTTGGGGATAAAAAAGTGAAAGGGGGATTTAATTGGATTGATAAGGGTGTTAGGGTCTTTTCCAATGGTGAAGGTATTTATGACATTTGATATTGTTTATTTATTATTTTTTATAATTGAAAGCCAGTTGGCCAAGGAACATTTAGATATTATTTTTTAACTAAAATCATTGTTTGACTACGTCTTTTAACAAATAACAAAGAATCCCAAACTAAAACGTTCATGCAAGCAAATTCAATCCAATTATTTGCAAACCTTTCAAAAACTAAGTATATTATCCTAGCTAAAAGAAGGATTCTTTGATATCAGAGATGTCAATAAACAAATCTGAAGAAAATTCGAACCAAGATCAAAACCCTAGAATCACCTGGAAGGGCTGTAGTGTCTTGCTTGACATCAATGACGGCGATCGCGTGCTTTTTTCTCGTCTTACTACTGGCTCGTACGACATTATTCTCATTCACATGTGTCACGTATACATGTGATAATTTTTTGAAAAATATTTCCTTTGGGAATTTGCAGGAAAATAAAAATTGGAAACAAGAATTACTCGCTGCAGCCTTTGATTGGGTGTCCATTTGGGTCTTCCTTTCAAGTGGAGGATGGTAAAGAAGGGCCAGTTTTATCCCGTGTTTTGCAATCTACTGAAGGTTTAATTTTCTCCTTTTTTTTTTTTAGCTAAGTTGTTTTTTACTGTCTTGTTCTGCTGCGTGTCATTTTATTGCTTCAATTAATTGATATCTGTTCAGTTGTACATCGTTTGTGTTGTCTGTGGTATTTACGAGTTTGTGGTATCATGTATCTACATATGGTGATCGAGCATTAATCTGAAGACTCTTTTGAACTAGCCAAATGAGGTAAATCAACTCCCTGGCGCAAGATGATCTAGTATTAAACTGCCATCAGAGGTTGCAAAATATTTGAGGTGTTATCAGTTATGAAGTCATTAAAACGTTTACTATGTTTGTGATAATTGAAGTCTTCATGAGCTGTTTGATTATATCTACGTGTTCCTTTAATGCCTTTTTTTTTTTTACTTACTGGTGGTATTACTTTTACTTGGACATTTTAGGTAGCAGTAAAATGTGTGAGCTAAAATGTTAAGTTCGAAGGTAAGTGAAGCTTTTTTTCAATGACAATGATAAATCACATGAAAAGTGAAAGCAGGGAGAGCAATTAGACTGAAGTACGTGTGAGACACCAAAAGAAACTGGGCAGTTAAGAGACTGCGGAAGAGATTTTATATTTTCCTTTGGGCAATGAGTGTACATACTCTAGCTGCGATGTTTGAAATTTTGTAGGTCTGTTCTAAGACAGCACTCGTGGTTGCTAGCATATTTCTCTCGATGCTGACATATTTGCTGAACGATTACTATTAGGTAATAACCTTCAAATTATGGAGGAGTCCAGAGATAACCGAATGTTGGTTGATAATAATAGTGCCCAAAGTCTCACCGTTGAAGATATTGACGAGATGCGAAGGTTAGATTTTCTCATATATGTTAAGGTTCTCTGTTATATAGCATCTGTCACATGACTTAGCCTATATTTGGCTTATGGTTATAAACTGTTTATAAACACTAAGGTACTTTTTATCCGTACATTTCGAGTGATCCACAAGTACTACCCACTTATTCTCACTCATCTCTATCTCGTTATAAATTTTAAATGGTTTTTAAACACTTCCCAAATATGCTTTTAGTAAATATGGGAAGGAAATCATTAAAATCAATTTTGCGACCGTTATATTGTTTTGACTCCATTTTAATAAATCATTTAAAGGTATAAAAATAATTATGTAATTTATAAATTTACAATCTTACTGAATTTGACATGTCCTTGATGTGTCGGTGTCCGTTTCTGGTGCTTCTTAGGTGATCCAATCCGATCCTGCTAATAAATAAGAGGGTCTAGCTTTATTATCTTTTAATTATTTTCTTGAACTTTAAGTCATTAGGGGGCATTTAGAATTAATTTTTATTCTGCCAAGTATTGCTCACACCAATCGTATCTATACTTATTGCATTTGATGGGGTTTGATGCAGAAAAGGAGCATCTGGGGATGAAATTATTAAAGCCCTCATTGCAAATAGTGCAACATTTGAGAAGAAGACTGCCTTTTCGCAGGTGCTCATGGCTTATGTTAATCGTAAATTTATGTTGAAAAATGTATCTGATTATAATTCTCTCTGCAGGAAAAATATCTTCTTAAAAAGCAGAAGAAATATGCGCCAAGAGTACTTCTAAGACGTCCTTTTGCACGGAGGTCAGCTCTAAAATCCTTAGTCCTTGTGGCGAGTTCGGTTAGGCATCGTGTTTGGAATAATAGTAATGAAATTTTATTATCTTAAGGAACTATGATATTATGGTATTAATTCAATTTATTTATTTGATTTGAGCTTTTGGCAAATGTTTACATGTTTTGTATATTCATGTTCCTAAATAGTTGGTGTCCATTTACTACATAATATTGAAAGCCAGCCCAAGTTTCAATCTGTAGTCAGGATTTTCTCATTCATTCTTCTTAGATTTTGGTCTTAATGTTATTGGCAGATGACTTGGAACTCTGCTAAGTAGTTGGTGTCCATTTAATACCTAATATTGAAAGCCAGTCCAAGTTTCCATCAGTAGTCAAGATTTGCTCATACAGTCTTGTCAAATTCAACTCTTAATGTTATTGGCAGCTGACTTGAAACTCAGCTATAGATGTGGCTTCCTGGTAGCCGGTAGGTGCTAGAATACGAGATTAATCAGTTCCATTTCTAATCATTTTCTGCATCTTGCAATTTTAAACCACAAGTATCTCTGTGTAGTTGTACTCTGCTCTAAGATTTGTGTCAAAATCATTTTTTAAGGTTCTCCTGAAGTGGTAATCGATTTTTAATGTTCTCCAGAGTCTTGAAGTGGTTTACTATGAGTTTGTAGTTTGTACATTTTTGGAGTTCTCATGAGGAGCCTATTATCTGGTGTACTTGGTCTTAAAGAATGTGATTGATTTGATAAGTAATTTAAAATGCTTAATGTAACTTGATGTTCTGAGGTTATTGACATGCTACGTAATCAGAGATTTTAGGATATTTAAGCTCTAAAATTTTTGTCTTCCTTTCTTTCTCTTATATACTTCATATTTTTCTAACTAAAGCCTGATTTGGTTTCAGTTCTGCAAGCTATCCTAATATTTACACGATCAAGCTGTGAAAGAAATTAAAAAATCATTAAAAACTAATTTTATTTGTAAAACTTAGTTATCATCTGGAAAAAATCAACATTTTGATGTACAGATGTGAACAAAACATGTTGGACTCACCTCTCTGATGAAGTCTTTTTATGCACTAAATTTGGTCCTTGTAAATCTTATTTACCAAAAAATATTTTATAATCAGTTTTTGAAAGATGTTCAAACACTTCATAAAGGGATCATATCAGCTAAAATATTCTAAGTGAAAAAGAGGCATCTCTTTTCTAGTTGATTTTAAGTATTACATAGTAGAGTGCAGGTATGTATGGTCAGCTCTCTGCTATTTTGGAAGTGCTTTTCAGATCTTATGGTTTTTCTTCATGATTGTCCCAATGGTAATATATTGCATGCTTTTCCTTTCAGCATATGTGAGGCATACTTCAAAAAGCATGCCGAGAGAATTGGGTAAGTATTATATCACTTGTTAACTTCAACTGTTCAACATACGAGTGTTTGAGATAATCCGACTCTCAGTTTACAGCAATATATTCGTGGCAGCTTTTCTTTCTTTTTTCTTTTGAATAATGCTGCTTGGCCAGGGTTATTGACAGAAAATTGGGCGACAGTGTGGGGTGGCAACAATTGATTAGGTTTTTTTTTTCCAAACTGTCAAATCATGTGTCGACACGTGCCCCCTGTTTTTTAACCTGTCATTGAGCCTGTTTGTGTAGCGTAACTCAAATTTACATTCTAAAATCCAGTACTCTGACTGAAAAGGCATTGAACCTTGTAATGTCAGCTTATGCGAGGCCTTTTTATTTATGTGGACGTTCTATTAACAAAATCCTCTATTATGATTAATTGGTCTTTCTTCTCTCTCTTTCCCCCAAATCCAAATACATTATAACTGAGACATGCATTTCAAGCAGCACAAATATGACACTTGCATCACCATGAGAATTATAAAACATTTAGCCATTCAAAAGAAAGAGTTATGTTTGCAATTATTTATGCAAACAATCCAACTTTTCTTGAAAAGCCTTTACCACATTACATTAATCAGTAATTATACCTTGTGAAAGGACATGGTTGGTCTTGTCAATTAAGATCTTAACTTTTAAACTACATAATTGACAGGTTTTTGCGGGTGGACACGTTATCTCTTCTGCTTTCTTTGGCTAATGTTAGTGCATACTCAGAGGTACTTCTAGTGGATATGCTTGATGGTATCATTACTGGTGCTGTGGCAGAACGCTTGGGAGGTAATTAATTTGTTTAGTTCATAGAAAATTTTGATCCTTGAAAATCTGAGTTGAACTTTAACATTTGTCTGACGAAACCAGTGGCCATCTCAAAGACAAATGTGAAATTTCATACAAGGATCAGAAGTACTGAACTACTTATGTAAGCACCACATTGTTGATTATATGACTTTTGAGTTCCGATGCAAGCATGTGCTGCAGTTATTTCCACCAACTGGAATAGTTAGAGGAACTTATTTGGATAATCAAGTTTACGCTATATATTATTAGTTGTTAAAGTTTAATACCTGCTGCGAAGACAAATGAGACAAGCAATATATTCAAAGGGATCTTTATTGAAAAATATGTAGAAAGTTTCGTATATGCTGTTAATTTTCTGAAACACAACTTGTGTCCTTGTCATGTTCTGTGCTAGTAGGTACTGGTTATGTATGCAACACATATTGTGGAGTCACACCATATCCCATTAATATTGTACAGATGTTCAATTTCAGTTATGACATATGCCAAAGGTACATTTTCTTGTAGCCTGGAAAATCAACTCCATTTGTTTTATTTCTGATTCGTGTGATGCTATTTTTGTTTAGGTTTCAATTGAATATGACATTTAATCTTTCCTGAGTCTAGGATTGTGCACTCTTCTGTAGCTGAACTACATTCCTCTGAAAATGAAACTGCACCATCAACTGATGAGCTGGAAGATGCCAGTAACATAAGAAGCCAACCAAATGTGGGCAGTGGTTTTGCATTCTATTTTATTACCTTCTATCTATTATAAGTTTGCCATGATGATTTTTTTGTGTACAGGAACAAATCTCATCTCCTTCATCTCAAAATGCTGTCATCATGGAAGAAAATGAAGATGGGAATATGGAAATCATGTCTGATGTTGCTGCTTCTCCAAAAGTTGACAAAGGTACAAAGGCTGGTCGAAAAGCACCAGTCGAGGCCATTAAGTTATGGAAGGAGAATGGATTTTCCAGGTCGACAGCAGTTCTCAAATCATTTAGTTGGGACACTCACTTTATGATCCCAAGGTTCTGATTTCTATATTTTCCCCCTTCTTGGTGCGTTTTTATGTTTTGTTTTCAGTTTGATAATCGCTGCTCCAAACCTGGATCCGTGGGGTATTATAAAAGAAGTCCTTCCACTTCTATCCTATTCTGCATCATTTGCTGTTTACCATCAGTATCTTCAGGTAATTGCTTTAGTAGGTTTGTAATGTGCATTGTCTTTTCAACTGATATATGTGCTCTTTTACTTGTTATTTACACTCCGTCAGCAAATTTTCTTAAAATGTAGGCATAGAATATTCTTCTAATCGGATGACTAGAAATATTTTTTCATGTCTGAAACCTATGCATGCTTATCTGAATCTAATTCCTTGATGAGGATTGTTTCTCCCTTCCATATTTGTTCTAGGCAACAGATGATACTGTTGGATAAGAAAATGGGATGGGATGCCAGTGTGTGAACTCTATGATCATTTGATTGAGAGTTGTCTTACTTTGTCAGTTTGTCTTGTGTCAGAATAAAATTATTATCTTTGTGATCTATTCTTTGTCAACCATGAATTAGGTTGTGCTCCGCAAGCGCCTCTCTTCTAATTTCTTTTTATTAATACTAAAGCCTGGTGTTACTTAATTATGTATTTGATGGAAACATCGAAACATGATTTTTTTTTTTTAATGTTTTTGGGTTCTCTTATTTCTTTTATGAACTTAATTAAACATCTCCTTTTTCTGATTATGGAAGTTCTTTTTGATCATCAGCAAGGAAAAGAAAAAGTAATATTACCTATTATTAACTCTATTGTAATGTACTATGTTAAAGTTTTGCTAGTGCTGAAATACCTGCTGATACACTTTGGCATTTAATATGTTCTGACGAGGGGGAATTGGTTACTCGTTCTCATTTTGCTGGTATTGTCTGGGTATATGGATGATTTTTATAAGAGGTGCGGGGCTTGAAGGCGTATAAAATACATTCAACAGGATTGATCTAAATCTGTTTTCTTGCAGCCTCTAGCCACATGCATGCACAATCTACAGGCCGAGAAAATGGCCATTGGCTTGCAAATTTCTGAGCCTTGGCTACGTGAATATCAGGTTAGTTAAATGTTCCATATATTCAATTTTAAAAAAGTTATTAAACAGCATGCAGGGACCCATCACTTTTTGTGACTGTCATTTGACTTGTGTGGTTAACTGACAAGCTAGTGTGTCACTGTATGCATCATGGAATCACACAACCTGGAGAAAAGAAGTTTTTTTTTTGTGTGTTGGGGGGTGGGGATGGGGGGCTCCTATTTATACAAACTTGTCATGTTTGGGAAACATTATAATCTAAATGTCAAGAGACTAATGCTTGTATATATAACCACTCATTTCTATGAAGTAATAAATTTATCAATTTATAATTTTTATCGTGCTTGTTTGGGTTTCACTATAATGAGATTATAGTGAAGAGACTAATGCTTGTATATATAAGCTGCATTCCTTTTCTCTCCCTTATCGTGATGATGGCAAACTCCTTTATCCCCTTCCCAGATTTCATTGAAGCACATCGGAACTTCATAATTTAGATTATTTCATATTTGGTTTATCTTGTGCCCATTGAAAATCACTTTATACCCTCGTAATTGTGTTAAGAGTTTTCTTTGTCATGCCAAGTTTCCTTCAGAAGTCACTAATGTTTCTGAGAAACACTCAGGTTCTTCCATCAAGAACTCATCAACACATGCAGATGAGTGTAACCGGGGGCTATATACTGAGTGGCACTCGGATAAGCGGCAACGATCAGACCCAAACAAAGTAACTTCTTCCTATTTTGGCTCCCCGAAATTTGACCAGATGGAATCTCAAGCATCCCTCTGTAACAATAGTGTATAATTTGTAAAAAAAATTTAACAGATACCATTTGAACTTCTTTTAACTGTGTTAGCCTTTTTTTTCTTTTTCCTTTTTTTGTGTGTGTTGGGTGC